ATGATAACAATAACTAGTTACAATAGACACTATTTATAAAACCCTACTATAAGAGAAAGACTAAAATACCCCTAATGATAAAATAAGCGTAAATATAAATACAATCTTAATAGCCATTATTACCTTTTTACAAACACAAAAATGCCGGGAATTGCACTTAATACCTTGGCATTTAGTACCAAACTAATTCATTGAGAAATACATATAGCACGTTGACTTCAAAACACACTAAACAAACCACATCAAACAGAAGTTAACAAAATTTCAAAATAATAACAGTACAAACAACATGATTGCTATATTAGAACAACAATAATAGGCATGCTCTTTCCAAATAGAACTTGTAGGACAAAAATAGAGTTAATCCACTTATTTAAAACTAAGAGATGCAAAGATCTCCATGCGAAGAAGAACACTAAAATTTTATCATATGATATCCGATATTGTTTCATTACTCGTTTTTCTATTCAAATAAATCTCTCGGTGTATTTCTATCCTTTATAGCTTCTTTTATGTTTTGTCAGACCCCCTCTCTCTCTTTTTCTTTCTATCTCTTTTATGTCCTTTTGACAATTTCTATATCTTTTTATTTTTATAGCTTTTCGTGTTCCGCTATGTCCCTCTCCCTCTCCATCTTTCACTTTCTTCATCAAGAGAAAATTTTTGTTTTTGTTTGCAAAGCTGTTGTCACACTCATGGAGTTTCAAATCGTAATTTTGGTATATAGGAGTATACACTTTCAAATAAGTCACACGTGTGACCACTTTGTCCCCACCTAACCAAACAGGCATAGCTCATAATTTCCCTTTTCCCCTATGGAGCCCCTCCTCCCATTGGTGAAATAGGTGTGGGCTTTGAATTACTATTATATTACATGTTTTAAAATCTACAATGGGGGGCCTAAAGCGTTGCAGTTTCATCTATGATTGAATGTGATCCACCAATATATTATGAAAGTTTACTAGGAATCCTTAAGCTAAGTGTGTTTGATAGATTCCTATTTCGGTTTGTGTCATGTCTGCACTAGATGTCGTTTTTCTCCTTGATTTGTGATGGGGATCAAAGGGGAGCTGGATAAATAATGTAAAATTGAGACTTATTTATAACATTTGTCCATCAATAGTAGGGTTATGTAACTTATGTTAGGAGTTAAGAAGCATAGACACAAACATTGGACACAGACATAACACAGACACAATATTCCTGGAAAAAAAAAAAAATAGGACAAACACGCGGGGGACATGATAAAGATAAATGTGTGTTATATATAAAATTATATAATTTGTTGTAAATATAGGGATAATGATATACTATTTATAAAAAAATATGTACTTTATGATATGTTATATTTAGTCATTTAGTGTGAATTTTTAGAGCATCATAATAGTCAAATAATCTTAAATGTTTTTGTAGACAACGTTTGCTCAGCATATTTAGGTTAAATGATCACTCTTGTTTTCTCAATTTCTCTTGTTTAAAACTTTATGCATTTCCTGTTTTTATTATTATATTTTGAATAAAACTATAACATGTTTATTCTTGGTAATTATATGCTCTCTCATTATATAAAATAATTATTAGTCAAAATTTCAAGTTTTATTAGTCATATGTCAACATATGTTTATTGTTTAATAGTAGACACGGTCTGAAGAAATGTCCAACACGGATAAAAGAGTATCGGACACGTGTTCAAGAGTGTCTGAGGAGTGTCGGTGTCCGACACGGAGACATCACTTTCTTGCTAGTGTCCGTACTTCATAGGTTAGGAGTCTTGACCATAGGGTTTGAGTCCTTGTATCACGGGATACAAGTAATTATTTTTTTTGTTCTCATTTTTAAATTCTTTTGATTTCTTCTTAATTTTCCTCTTTTTCTTCTCTTCTCTTTGTCAAATTCTTCCTCTGATCTGCATCAATAGGTATATGAGTGTACTATCATATACAAATCTTTTTGCTACCTTCAAAATTGCAAAATGAAAAATCGCACAACTGCCTTCATTGTCGTCTTATAAGATGATTATTGTCATCATACTTTTGGCAGACCATAAGCATTATTCTCTTCATCTACTGCTGTCGAGGTTACCCTTGCTAGTCTTTCCAGTTTCAGAATTCTCGTCGTCAATCGCGCAATAGAGTTCCCCAAAAAAGAAATCTAAGCAGACTGGTCGTGGAGAAGGTGACTAATAAGTATGATTGGTTAAACAGGGACATCAAGACCAAGATCAATTCACCGTTGCAATGCTATCAATTTCCATAATTGTCGAAGCTTGAAGTGGTCATTGCTTCTTGAAACTCGCAGGCCAGCACAATAGGCTAGGGTCCAAAAATTTCAAGCCTATCTTTCATTGTTGTTGCCGCCAGCATCATTTTTGTTATTCCTTGTCGTTGGCTTCATTGTCATCGTCAACTGCCATTGTTGGGAGCCCAATTTGTTGTAAGTTAGACTAATGGGAGAGGCATTCTTGGGTTTAATATAATTGGATTGACTTGACCCACAAGTTTTAGACCCAATTTCATCACATTTAAAATGACCATTCGACTAGAATCCAATCTGATCTAGAGCCATTATCCAACCCTATTAGTAACTGTGAAAATTCCTAGAGTTATGGAGAAGTTCTAGAATTTCCTGAACTTAAGAAATAGACCCAGAATCCCCAAGAATTTTGGAAGAAACCCAAGCAAAATTTTGAGAAAATTTCAGAAAAGTTTAAACTTTCGTAAAAAATGTGAAAACTTCAGAGTGTGTAAAGTTGAATCCACTTGTTGTGGAACTTGAGGGAATTTATTGACTCCGCAACTATGTACTATGTTGAGCACATTCGTTACCTATCTTCTAAATCCCAGATGTCAATTTCTGAACCTACTTGTAATCACTTGGTTATTGATTCTAGTGTTGAGATTATTGGAGTCTATCATGCCCTTTACCGCGTCTGAACCCATTGATTCTGTTTCTGTGTTTACATATAAGGGTCCTGCGGAGATTATTTACGACCATTCTGCTTATGAGCCCTGAAGAGCTTGCTGATTCTGTTTCTTCACGTACTGTCCAAAGTTCATTTGAGTCCTTGGTTATTTTCATTATCAGTGCATTATTGTCCATCAAAGTCTTTTATGTTGAATTCTAGCGGAAATCCTTTTGTGTTGTTGTGTTTGGATCGAATGCATATTATGTAGGATTTTAGAATAAGTTTAGCTTAATACATTGAGGACATGTTACCTTATCGAGCTACTTTTGAGCCTCCTTTTGTTACTAGTAGGTGTTCATACATGTGGAGTTATTTCTTTGAATCCATAGGCTACAGTACTTGTTCTTTCGTGATTTCCAACCTAGATTATCAGTGTCATGTCATTCAATGGAGGGAATTCTGACGTTTTGATCATGATCTTCTAGAGCGGTATCTCTATCTTATTTGCGGGAGTAGTTATTCTTAGTTGGAGAGAAATGGCAGGGATCAAAAGGAAATGGGATAAACGATGTAGATTTATTTGTATTTCTTTTTTATTTTGCATTTATCTTTTATTAATAGGGTCTTGTTTGATTCTTTATTTTTGACGTGTTTAGTATCTATTAAATTAATCTTTTGGTTTTTTTTTTTAACATACCGATAATTGAATAAATATTGGACATTGGTTCCCTTTTTAGAAGCATTGACACATATAAGATAAGATGTGAACACGTGGATACAATATTTCTCCGAAAATGAGACGCAAACATGTCAAGGACACATTGCATATTTTCTTATATTAATTTTATACCATCATGATTTTATGAATTTGGCCCTTTTTCTATATGTCCAACGCATTTTTTACTACACCATGAGTAAGAAATTTGGCAAATACAAATTTTAATACATAAATAAATTTGGCCTAAGTGTTTAACATATATTTATAGGAGTCCAATGGGGCCCAAACATAATTTCCCTGCTAAAGTCCATCACTTCAAATACAAGCCAGAAAAGAGTATGCCTTTGATGCAAACCAATCCAATACAATGCACCAGTTGTAAACTTTCACCTCACATCCAACCACACATGATCATTCTAAGGTCTACAAGATGATGGAAGAAAACTGGGATTATAAGCAATCAATCATCACTTGCAAAGAATGGATTTATAACAAACAAAAGAGAATCAAACAATCAAAAAGGCTCTTTGCCACTAATCATCTCTCTCTCCAGCATGGTTTCTCATTCTGTCAATCTCTCTCTCTATCCCTCCCACTCTCATACTCTTGTGACATTCCTCTATGTGAATGGCACTCGAGGAACCACAAGGCATGTAATTAGTGATGCTTTGTGCCTCTCTTTGTCCTCATTGTGAGTCTTTGTCGTCACCAATCTTCGTTGTCATCCTCGTCTTGTCTAGGTAGAATCTGGCAACAGGGTTTGGTTAACTGGATACATGGAATTGGGATCTCTGTCGCACGGCGATTTCATTTTTTTTTTTTTTATAAAAGTATGCAGTTTAGAGTGAGTTTTTGAAAATGAAAAAAATGTCATTTTTGAAAACAAAAAAGCTGAAAGCTACGGAGGGTACTTAATGAGGTAGTGGCTTCAACTTTTGTTAGCAATTAAGTTGGCCCAAATAACCATAACTCATAGAAACCTCTCTCTCTCAAGACTGTCCCTCTCAATTTCTCCATCTCTAGACTTTGTCTGTCTCTTAGACTCGAAGTTTGATGCCTCTTTCCTCGATTGTCTTCCGATGAAGACAACTGGAGCTCGTTGGGATTGAAGAACAGCGCCGATCATCTCTGCAATTATCCATCTTGATCCGAATGTAGATTTGCTAAAACCCAGTTCTCTTATCACTGATCTACAACAATCAACTATCTTAACACGGATTGAAGAACAAAAACAAGAAAATGAGCTTTGATCTATTGTCTAAATACAAATTCCAAAAATCTGTAACCTAAAATATGTATATGTGTATACATATATTTATTATGTTTGTGAGTGGTTGGTGTTGGTTGTGATTGATTATAGCTAGTGGTTGAGTGGTGATGGTTCTCAATTGTGGCTTGGAGTTGTGGGTTGCTGATGGTGGGATCTTGTATTTGATAGTAGTCAAAATCTGGGGTTTGTTGTTTCGATTCGAGGTAAAAGAAATGGAAAAAGGAAAATAAATTTATTTAAAACAAAAATGAAAATAGTTATCAACCAGGTGTTCAATTTACAATTTATTTTTTTTCGAAATCAATAACCGATATCAAATACTTTTTTTTTTGTTTTCAATTTTCTCAAAACTGGAAATATAAATAGTTTTTTATTTTCATTTTTAAAATTGAAAACTGAAAGACAAACTCTTAAAACATTAGCAAACGGACATCAAAATATTTCAAATGAGAGTGAAATTGAATACAAATGTGTTTGGAATGTGAACCAAATGAAGAAAAAAAATGGATCATGACTTTTTTGCGTGTCCGACATGTGTTCACATTCTAGATATGTCGAACACCAACAATGATCAAAATTTCGTTTCTTGTTCATCAAAATGATCAAAACATTTTTGTTTCCATTTAAATTGATATGTCTCAGTAATCACATATTGAAATGTTGTTGTTTTTAGGTGTTTCAGAATGTTTTGAGATATTTTTGGATGTTTCAAGGTGTTGAGCTATTTTGGTATGTTTCAACTAATATTTTGGAATTTTTCAGAAACAAATTTTTGAATTTTTTTTATATTTTTATTTTGTTTTTAAAATGTTTCCGAAATTTATTTCGAAAGGTTTATGTTTTTGAGCTAATTGAAATGATGCACCGAAACGAAATTTTGAGCATGGAACAACAATACCTAAGCCCAAATAAAGTATCCTCGCTTCATTGGTTTCCCTTCTTCAACACTTCTATTTCTTATTAATTCTCTTTTTTCTCCTTCCTTTCTTTGTTTTTGATTTTTCTTCTCGGTCGGCATCCAAAGTTTTTTGTTATTTTCTGTTTCCTAGTTTTGTTCCACCACAATTTCAAACTAGACTGAAATAAGGCTTTTTTGTTTGTTTGTTTTGTTTTGTTTGGGGTTGGGGGTAGGGGCGGGGGTGTGTGCTATGATCAAAGTAGGGCTTGGCCTTTGTGGATTGACCATTTTGAGGCATTCCAAATGCCATTTCTATTTGGGAGTTGACATGCTATATAACTCCTCCAGTGCAACACAAATTTTTTTTTTTCTCCCAGTCATCCCTTGGTGATTTGCTATAGAACGGGTGACATATATGATACGACATCCAATCTGTCGGTTCCTTCTATCTTTGGTTCTGGCCACACCTACTCAAATTTTTGATGAGGACACACTCTTTGTGAATAAATTGTAGTCCGTTTCTCATGTACATATTTATGTGATTTTGAGTGAAGAATCAGCCTCTGATCTTGTGTGCATGGGTTTGATGCTTGCAGTCTACAATATTCCACCATTTTTTTTCAATAAGATACAATGTTCCACCTTTCATCTCGTTTGTTCAATGTGCTGTGACATACTTGTATTCTGTTTGCACTCATTTTTCTAACAAATTGACCAGAGTTGCTTTGTATTTTGATATTCATCTGCCTATAGATTACTAGCGGTCACCCTGGGCGATACATTGACAATCGCTCTCCACCATCACCTCCTATCCTACCCCTCACCGTCACCCCACCCCACTCCAACATTATCGAGAAAAAATCCATTAATGTGCTAAATTAATTTAAAAAAAATTTGATTGTGAATTAGTTATCAAAGATAGTCGAAAATTCCAATATGGGTAGTAACCAAAGATGGTAGAAGTAGTTACATAGTTCACATGAAAGAGTTTAATGGGAGAGGACCATATAAATAGTTCAAAATTTTGAGAATTTAGTATTTGAGGAGGGAATGCTTCTCAAACCCACCACATCGATTTTGATTGTTATATATAATAGTATAGATAGATTACACAAAACCTTTTAACTAAGAAATACTTATTCGTTAAATCTTAAATATGGTGTTGTTATTACCCATGCACAAACTAACACATGCAGTGGCTTAGGCTGAATCACATATATGATGGCAGATGTTTTATGCAATAATGTTTTGTTTTTCTTTTATGGTAAAAAATATGACAATAAGTTGAAATAAACATCTATTGACTTCATCTCTTCCTCACTTTTCTGGGCTACTTTATTGCTCTCTCATTCTCTCTCTGCATACATATATATATTACGTGTGTGTGTGGGTGTATACTTAGGCATGAATATGAGTGTGTGCATTTGTATGCTTGTATATGTGATGGTAGATTTTGATGCAAGTGAAAGTTGTTCAGATTATTTGCAGTGCGTTAATCGGCATTCATAATTATTATTGTTGGGTATTTATGTTTACATATCCAATATTACGAGGTACTTAGGGAAGTAGCCACACTTTCTCGGTTGCAGCATCAACATGTTGTACGTTACTATCAGGTATGAGATTCAGAAAAGTTTTGTAATTCCTATGCATGTTTTACTATTTGTTCATTCTCCATAGCTGTACTTTTTCGGTCCATTTGTTGGTTTACGTTGCTGCATGTGCATACAAAATTGTAAACAGTTGTTTATTATCATAGAAATCAGGTTTCATAATTGATAGTTCCTGCGACTAAACGTTCCCAGTGGAAGCATATAGTTTGAAACATTGATCACTTTATGTATGACTGTTTATGCTAAATTAATGTAATATCGATAAAAAATTTCAGGCATGGTTTGAAACAGGAGTTGCTGATTACTATGGTGATTCCTCCTGGGGTTCCAAGACTGCTGTGAGTTCTAGTTTCAGTTACAAGGATGCGAGTTCTGCTGATATCATTGGTCAAGAGAGTAAGCTTGAGTCAACTTACCTGTATATTCAAATGGAATATTGCCCCAGGTAGAACTTCTTACTCACTTGTTTTCCCTTAGGATATAGTTTTCTTGTGGAACATGATGTCAATATTGATATTTAAATCACGCTAGACTGATATCATAATATCCTAAGACACATCTAGATGGGGGTGAATATGTCTTTATCACTTATTAACAAATTAATCACATGGGATTGTTCAACACAGATGATCAGTATATGTAGGATATATCTACCTAGTGTGTTGGAGCCAATCAATTAATCTGAGAAGTCACTGGATGGTATGGATATAATGGAAAGTACGGGCCAATACAAAATGATATAAATCGTGGATCTTGTCATAGACCAAGGTTAGACCTAGGGATGTATAGGTTTTTAGCATAGAATATGATATTTATTGCTAATTTAAATCAATCTGACCTAGTTCCCCGTATTTCGAAACTATGTTCAGGGATATTCAATTTAGCAATTGTTGGAGTTGTTATACATATACCAGTCATAAGGGTATACTATTCATTTAACTATTGATCCCAGTGTCCATATATATATTTAATGAGAGTGGGCAGTAAGGATTACTTTTGACCTACTCTCTTTTCCGATATTCTTTTCTGTTCAATAAACTATAACTTCAACATGGTATCAGGGAGGGTTTGCTTCTGATAAATTCTTCCTTCCTTTTTTTCTTATTTTCTGCCGATCTTCTCTTCTGATAAATGGCAACCTTTTGTACTGTTACTGAAAATACTAAAAACGATAGGTTTGTGAGAGATGTACAGCGGCTGTATGCAGACTATTGTGGTGTTACTGTTCAAACCTTGACACTGTTGCCATCCCAGGGATTTGCGATTTTGGCATGGGAGTTCTAATCGTTATTGATTTGCCATTGTAGGCTTCAAAATCGTGATCTGTGACACCAAAATTTGTTGTTGAGTTGGAGATCACATCTCCCAGTCTGTGTGAGCTGCAGTGTCTTTGGCAACTTCGTCACACTGTTTGCTGGAGCTTTGTGAAGAAGAAAGGCCTGTTTGGTAACAGGTGCCCCCTCATCAGTACTGGGATTAACTTGTTTGGGTTATAAGTTGAACACATGGACAGTCGGGTTGAGTGTTTTCAGATTTAGGTTATTTGTTTCGATCCACTTCTGCATTTTGGGCTTGGGTTGCTGCTCTAGACCTCTCTGTTTCGTTCTGGTTCAACTTCTTGTGATCAGTCCAGCCTGGTTTAGGCATATTTCAGACTGGTATATGTGTATCTCGACCCAGTTCGGATCACAGTTGCCATTCATAATCCAGGTTCATACCCATTCAACAACCAAGAGGTATTCTTTTGGGCCAGTTCAGATCACAGTTGCCATTCATAATCCAGGTTCATACCCATTCAACAACCAAGAGGTATTCTTTGGGCCAGTTCAGTATTAATTTGATCCGATTTAGTCTGGTTCTACAATGATTTGGACTGTTTCAGTTTTTTCCTCTCAATTCAGCGCCAATTCAGCCTCCTAGAGTGCAAATTTTGGCTGGTTCAGCCCCCTACTGCCTCGTTCACACCCGGTTCAGCATTGCTTTTGTTTTTCAGGGGCTGTTCTTCTCTGTTTCAGTGGTATTCCAGTTCTTTCCAGCCCAGTTCTGGCCCAGTTCAGTGGGTGCTCTTCCTGCTTTGGGTTTATTTTAGACTGGTGGATTTTAGACCTGGTTCGGCAAAAGCCCAATAACTTGGAAGCTGTTTTTCATTGACTTAGGCGTGTGGATTTTTCATTTCTATGGGAATGGCTTCCAATTCTGATTTGTCCTCTATCTCATTTAATTCAGCCCAGTTTAGTGGCTGAGGTGTTAGAGGAGATTGTGATTGCCTTTGTAGAGGTTGTAACTTTCGAGGGGGCCATACGTGAGGTCGTAGACATCATCAGTGCACTCATTTTGGGTGTTGTAGTCATTCTGTGCACTATTGTTGGGATTTACATGACACACCACCTTTTAGTTGTGCATCCTCTCACTCAGATATGGTCACTATTCCTCATGTCGAATATGCCCAACTGATGTCTTGTAAATAGGCCACATCCTCTACTTCCAAGGTTAGTTTTACTCAGTCAACTATTGCATCTAATTGTCATTTATCCTCTTCGAAACTTCCTGGATCATAGACTCTGGAGCATCTGATTCTATGACAAGTTCATCATCCTCAATTTCTTTTTAGTTTGACGTCCATTAGTAGAATCACTCAATCTCTTCATTGCTTTGTAGCCATTTATCCCTCATCTTGTGGTGTTCAAGATTTAAAGATAAAGAGAAAGATTGGTTCATGGTATAAAGCTGGTGGTCTTTACTACTTTGATTTTGAGCCCAAACCCCTTGCTAGGGCTCTTCAGTATTTGTTGCCTCAATTTTAATGGCATTGGCGTCTTGGTCATCCATCAGTTCCTACCTTGCGTTGTCAAGTTCCTAGCCTGAGTGTCTCCTTTATGCCTTGTGAAGCATGGCAGTTTAGTAAGCATCACTGTGTGCCTTTTAAGTCTCGAGTTAATAATTGTGTTTCTATTCCTTTTGATCTTTTTCATTTTGATGTTTGGGGTCCAATCAAACACATTTCTATTTTGTTATTTCGTTATGTTTGTGGATGATCATTTTTTGATTTGGTTGTTTTTTAATGAGCTTGCTCTGAATGATTTTCGATCTTTCAAACATTTTGCACAAAGATCAAAACTTAATTTGATTGTGGCATTCGTATTTTGTGTTTTGATAATGCCAAAAATAAATTAATTTCTGATTCTTTTGAGTCTTGTTTTCATGAGACAGGAATTATACCCCAAATTTCTATTACCCAAACACCTCAACAAAATAGTGTTGCCAAACGTAGGACAGTCACTGCAACAAAAGAAAGCTTTGCATGGTTTAAAACAGTGATCGAGAGCGAGGTTTGGAAAGTTTTCTTAGGTAGTACTTGATTGTGGGCTCTATAGGTGCCAAATCACTTGGTTTTTCACTGATGTGTAGATTTAGGTTGCATTATTCTTGTGGTATATGCGGATGATAGTGTTATCATCGGAAGTGACTCTAGGGGCATTGCTTAGTTGAAATAGTTTTTGCATGATCGGTTTCATACTAAAGATTTAGGCAAACTCGTATTTTCTCGGTATTGGAGTTTCTAGGTCTAAGGTGACATTAATTTATCGCACATAAAATATGCTCTACTCATTCTTTAACAATTCTTTTTGATAAACTGATTTCAAAGGATGTTCCTACCAATGAAGTAAACAAGTTTCAAAAGATGTCACTACAGATAGAGTTTCTACTTTGTCTACATTGATTTATATGCTTACTCACCTTAATTAGTGTATGTGTACAAGATAGTATTGGATGGAACACCTAAGGGGTTGTTTTCTACTCAGGGGATCTACAATACTATTTTCTTGGAACACATGTTTCTTTAGATCTGTTGGAGTTCTTCTGCACTTACAACTCTTTGGAAAAGAGTTTTTTCTGGCCGGTATTATATTAGTTATGGAATATTTGTTTGACTAGAGGTATTAGTTAAAGTTTGGCTAGGAAATTGTTTTAGAGTTTTAATAGGATATGAATTTGAGAGTTTGATTATGAAACTCTTTTAGAATTTTAATAATTCATTGTAGAGTGTGATATTAATATAAATTATTTATTAAAGGAGAATCGTGTGTGTTTCTTGACCTAATTCTTGCGAGGATTTGGTATCTCTTCTTCTTCTTTTCTATTAATTTATTTCTCCTTCTTCTGTCCTCAATCAAAAAGCATCTAATCCAACACTTGAATTGGCAAAATATCAACTCCATAAGTTCCCGATGGGTATGAAATCTGAATTGACCCTATGCGTTAATACTTTTCATTCTCTTGGAATTCCATGGTCATAAATACATTTTTTAGACACACACACACACCACAAAAAAAAAAAATGGAATCAAATTCATTATTCACAGACCATAAGCACCCAAACCACTCATAGTTTGCTACTGTGCACCATTCTCTCCCTCTCTATAGTTGCATGTCTCTCTCACCAGAATAGCGCACTTCAATATGCAAACCCCAAATTCCCACCATCACCATGCTGTCATCATTGCCACCATAGTTTATGAAACCACCACAAGATAATCATCTGTTGTTTCCCTGAAAATGATCGAACTAGGGCACCATTACTGTCCAAAACTCTACCTGCTGAAACATTTGATCTCAAATAGATTATACTGATTTGGAATTGATGTTCAATATGTATAAGCGTATTATCTCCCTGATTTCTGAAGTTAGACATGGGATTTTCCCAGTAACTTGAAATCCACCAATGTGAATACATCGACTGATATTGCATGATTTAGAATAGTGAGGTGCTCACATTTGACATGGTGGTGCTCATCAGGTGTTTTATGCTGTGAGTATATATGGAGAGGGGTATTGAGAGAAATGGAGGTGGCATGTTCAGCAAACAGCAACGGCTCCCCCAGCTAGCTCTATGTGTTTTATACAATATAGCTTTCTTGCAAGCGTTCAACGGCCATAAGCAGGAAGTTGAGCAATTATGGTTTTTGATTTGAATGGTAGTGGTCGCAGTCGTTATTAGTTTTGAATGCAGTGGCTAAGCGACTGAGTGGTTGTGGTGCAGTGGTTATTAGATGTGAGTGGCAGTGGGTGGCTAGGTGATTGAGTGGTTATTGATGTTGAGGGTTGTGTGTATGTTATTGCTTTGTGAATTCTTCTTGGTTTATTTTTTAAAATAATACTAGACGCCATAACACATTAGTCCATCAAATCCTTTCTTGAATATAGTGAAGTTTTATATTATTGTTTCTCGACATTTGAATTTATCTCTTTCATGTGTCTGTAGGACTCTACGGCAGATGTTCGAATCATATAATCATTTCGACAAGGAACTAGCGTGGCATTTGTTCCGCCAAATTGTAGAAGGACTGGCACACATACATGGACAAGGAATTATCCACCGCGACTTGACTCCTAATAACATCTTTTTTGATGCTCGCAATGACATTAAAATTGGGGACTTTGGCCTTGGTAAGATATATTCTTCGTAACTTGATAGCAATGGATGTTCTGTACTTGTCTGAGGCTGCATGTCTTATTTTCTTGGACAGTTGCAAATTTACAATTTCCTCTTTTTTCAGCAGACTGCTAGGTTTCTATTTAATTTATGATGGGTAAAAGGAAATGTGTAAAAATTTATTTTGAGTACAAAACTCAATGATATGGCTGGATTGGTAATTGTTCTGAAAATGATAACAGAAATGAAATTTGTGTTTTGTGCTTCTACGGACATCCATTTGATCTGAAAAACTTATTTTATCTACTGCATTGGCATGCAGATCTTGAAGATTTTCATAGACAGATTTAAGACCTTAAATTTCGCAATAGGCCATCAAGTCATGTTCAATACACAGGAAAATACGCTTGTGCAAGAAAGTTTAAAATGCTAGAAGTTTATAATAAGTCGAAAAATGGGATAGCTCAGCTGAAGTGTTTAAGATATCAATTGTTCCTATGATATTAAGTGAATCTTTTTCAAATATAATTATACAACTGTCACTGTTCACTGTTGCCTGTGATTACCGGATAGACGAAGATAACTGGAAAAAAAGAGAGGATGAAAAGTATCTTTTTACTGTATTATAAACAAGAGAGGCTTATTTTTTCCTTGAAAAATTTTAAAATCCTTTTCCATGATGGATTTTGTTGTAGATTTTAATATTTAGGCATTAAATAATATGTATATGAAAACATGTAAAGTAGTTCATTGCCAATAAAAATACTATGGTGCAATATAACGAACAAAACTATGTAGTCCATTAAAATAACTAAAATCCTATATAGTACTTTCCTACCATTTAGCTTCGTTGAGGTAGATATTCTTAGTCTAATCACTGCCGTCCTTCTTTAGTAATATTTCTTACCCCATATACTTTCTTACCTTTTCTGTCAGCTCAATAGCATCTTTAGCTTAAATTAAATAATTCTTCCTTATCAGGGTATTTGGTTATGTTCCATGCTTGTATGACTTGGACACCTATGCCCGAAATGGTGTTACCTCATCGTTTGTTGTATTGACACTTACCCATCTACACATTTTTTCTTGTATTTTAAGATTGCTATCAACTGGGGAGAGCCAAGAATTTAAACCTAGGCGACTTTATTATGGAACAAAAGATATAGCACATAATTGCTTGGGCCATATTAGAATAATTATACTTTCGGGCTAAGAAGCATGGACATGGGAACACTGGATACAGATATGACACAATATGGACACGACATTTCTTAAAAAGTAGGACACGGATATATTGGAGACACGCTACAGATAATTGTGTATTGTATATTAAATTGTGTAATTTGTCACAAATATAGTGATAATGATATACTATTCATAAAAAAATCAGTGATTTATGATAAGTAATGTTATGTTTAGTCATCTAGTGAGAATTTTTAGACTAAAACATCATAAAAGTCAAATATTCATAGATATTTTTGTATATAATGTGTGCTAACGTATATAGGTTAAACGATTACTCTCATTTTCTTAATTCCTCTTGTTTAAAACTTTTATGAATCTTTTGCTTTTATTATTATATTTTGAGCACAATTTTAAAATGTCTAATCTCGGTAATTATATGTTCTCTCATAGTATAAGATTTATTAGTCAAAATTTTAGGCTTTGTTAGTTCCATGTCAACACATGTTTATTGTTTAGTAGTAGTCACGGTCTAAGGAAGTGCCAGACACGTCACCAAAAAAGTGTTAGACATGCATTTCAAATTAAAATTTTATCGTTTAATTATAGAAACAGATAAAAGAGTATTAGACACGAGTCTGAAAGTGTTTGAGGAGTTTTGAAAAATGTTGTGTCGGGGGATTGGGGGCTGAGGATATAGTTGTTGATCTTCACATAATCTAGCAACTGGCTACCATTTTATGCTTTAGACATTTTAGAAGCAGCTTTCCACTTCGTTCATCTTGCTTTAGTTCTTCTGGTGTTATCTTCTCCAATCTTTTATTATGGATGATCACTTCCAACATGGTCGCTTTGGGGTCTCCAACTACTGTCTTTTTACATTTCCTTTTCTTTTTTTTAGCACGACTTATAAAAAGTTTCGATTGTAAAAAATATTCAAATTTTAACTTGACAAATCTCTTTCTTCTTTTCATAAATTATATGTTTGTGTATTATCTATGTGAGAAACACTTTTTTGTCGATAACCCAACTTATTATTTACGATCGTTTTTCTGATTACCCAACTTATTTGTGCAACTCTTCTTTCGGTATATATATAATTAGAAGACTATTTACACGTGCAAAAAGGGCTTCTAGTCCCGAAATTTACCACAGAATCAAAAGATCCTTGGTTTGTCACTAATATTAATACACAGACATGGATAATTCAAAAACATATTTTTAAGGTGTAATATCAGTTGGCCCCCCACTTCAGAAGCCTTACAATTCCAATCATATATCCCAACACCACCATAGCCCATATCTTGTAATAAAACTTCCATCCATAAAGTAAGCCTTCGAACGAATACGGCCTGACCCATGCCACTCCATGTTGGGACAATAGTACGTCCATAACTCCTAAGCCGCCTCGCAATGCATCAAAATATGGCTACACCCTCCGCCACTTCATTGCACACTAGGACAAATAACTACAATATTTTCCTTCTCTTTGAGTCATCTGCAATCAACATTGCTCCTCAAGCGGCCCCAAGGAAAGAATAGGACCTTGCAAGGAAAGTGAGCCATCTCCCTCTTGAAAAGAAAGGTATAAGAGGACTTAATGGGAATGATGACACTTTTGGACCTTGCGACCTCACCACGTCTGTACCACCTGTTTTTAATCTCGCCTGATGTACGCAACAAGGATCAAAATTTCGTTTCGGAAGAGTCGAAACATCTGAAATGTTTCCGTTTCCAAAGAGACTGAAACGAATCAGTGATGTAATCGAAATTCTAGTACTTCGAGGTATTTCATAATGTTTCTAGGTGTTGTGTAATTTTTCAATGCATTTGTACAATTATTTTGAAATGTTTCAAAGTATTTCAAGATATTTTGTTATATTTCGACCAATGTTTTGAAAAAGTAATTTTTAAATATTTTTTTTTTCATTCTATTTCCGAAATGGGTCGACATGTTTTCGAAACACGTCTATATGTTTCTATTTCCTAGATGATCGAAATAGTGCTCCGAAACAAAATTTTGATCCTTGGTACGCAGACAAATGAAAAATTCATTGCCTTCCTATCAGCAGCCTTAACGATAGCACTTTGGTTATCAACTTATAAACACTTTGGTCTACAATCTCTAACACCACCTGTACCCCTCTCCTTTGCAACGAGAGCAATAAAGGAGGCACTGAAGCACTTCTCGAGATCACTATGTTCAAACCAAATATAGAAAATGTTGATACCCTTGTGAATTGTGAACTGGAACACACACTTCAAAACATGGTACGCTTCAAGTTTGGAATTGTAGATTTTGCAATCCAAAACTTTTAAATTCTACTTTCCTTAGAAAACCTTTACTATATCTACCTAAACACATTTTTAACCAATGTTATATATGTTGGCTGCCCTTAATTTGTATAGTTAGTCTGGACTAACTTGAAGATTTTTGCATTAGACTCATAGTTTCAAATTATCGCTTATCACCACTGTATTTGCCCACATGATTTTGCTTGAAAATACATTAATGTATTTTTCAAAATCAAGCTTGCCTATATTTCTCACCTTCTGGTGCAGTAGTGACTTGATATTATTTAAATGCTTTTAATTTTTCATGGTCATGCACATCATAGAATTTGGTAATTTATGTTTTTTTTCAAGAAAGATTTTATGTCTTTTCTGCCCTTTTACCCATTCAGCAAAATTCTTGAAGCAGCTGGACCATGACTTGGATCCCACGGAAACAGCTGGAGTTTCTATTGATGGTACTGGCCAAGTTGGTACATATTTTTACACTGCACCTGAAATTGAGCAAAGGTGGCCAAAGATTAATGAAAAGGTTATTTTTAGTCTGACTTGAATAGCTTCTTTATGTTGCTCTGGCAAGGACTTATCCCTGCTCGGCTTGGTGTGCCCTTCTGATTGACAGGCTGACATGTACAGCTTAGGGGTTGTGTTTTTCGAGCTGTGGCACCCCTTGAGTACAGCAATGGAGCGACACTTTGTTCTTTCTGATCTAAAACAAAAAAGAGAACTTCCTTTTGCTTGGGTTACTGAATTTCCTGAGCAGGCATCCTTGTTGCAGTGTTTGATGTCTCCAAGTCCATCTGATCGTCCATCAGCCACGGAACTTCTCCAAAATGCTTTTCCTCCTCGAATGGAGTATGAGTTGCTTGAGAGTAAGTAATAAAGATATTTCTTGGTTTGCCTGTGGCTGCTTGTATCTCTGGAGTTCTGCTGTAAGTTGATGAAAATTGAAAAACTAGATTACCGGCTTGTCATGGTAATAAATAAGTAAATAGGAAAAAGTGGTAAGTAAATAGAAAGAAGAAGGTCTTAATGCCATCTGGCTGTCCGTACACATTGGGTTTTGTTGGAAGCATGTAGCTGAGTATCTTGCGATAATTCTTACTTAATTATGATGTTGTCCTATAAAATGAACAGACATTCAAAAACAAAAAGAAAATGAATCTTTAGGCCAAAAAAAATTTTCCTTCTAATTTTGAAATATTGTACAAAAAATTCTTGCCAAATTTTAGAAATTTTTTAGTATTATGTTTGAATTCTAATGGAAAGAGGTAATCATAGAAAAAAGAAGAACAAAGGAAAAGAAAATAAACAATGGACACAGATAAAGCGTGGTTGTCTCTTTCAATTCTATTAGTTTGTTAACTCCAATACAAAGGTTCATATATCCCCCAAGACATGTAAATGATAAAGTTATATCCCGACCCTTCCCCTTAAGTTGTTGCAAAGATGTCACACATGTCCAACTTGGTTAAGATATTATGAAAAACTTTACTTGGAACTCCCTTTGTCTAAATGTCCGCAAGATATCTTCAATATTCACATAAGGAGACAAATTGATCCATCATTATACTTTTCTTAGCAAGAATGAGGAACCTATGCCCGTAACAATTCTCTCTATAGTGGAGTAAGAGTGGAAGGATACTTTTGGTTGTTCATCCAAAGGATCCATACTTAGACATCTCATCAATATCTTGAAAGCTTTAGTTTTGAGATCTCATGAGGCAAATGCTTAGTCTGAGCACGTTGAACGAGATTATGAGCAATTTTGATTTTTGGTTTGTGGTCACAAGTTTTACGATCAAAATCATGGTCTTTTGACTTTGGCTTCAACTAGAGCAATGATGTGTTTCATGTGACTTAGGTTTGATCTCACATCTGAGGTACATTTAGTCACAACTAATTACTTTAGACTGACCCATGTCATGAAATTTCCTCCCACAAAAGTGCAATAACCAAATGTAGATTTCCTACTAACTTAACTAGACCAATCTTCATTTTTTATTAGTCCGCTCTCAAGTGATTATGCTTGAAAACTAATGAACCTTTGTCTGGAGCTAAGATTTCAAATAATGGAGAAAAGCAGACTCCAAATAATGGATCAATTCCGTAAACTCTCCACGTATGATTTATGATGGTAATGTATAAACTGACTCACAACACTAACTGTGTAGTTTAGATTTGGGGGGAATGAGAGATAAATAAATGAACTTTCCAACCAATTGCTCATATCTCCCATGCCATTTTATGCATCTTCAGTATCTTCACAAACTTGTAATTCTGTCCACTAGAGTATCAATGGATTTACACCCAAGCATCCCTGTCTCTTTAAGAAGATCCAGAACATATTTTCTCTATAGAACAAAGATACCTCTATGGGAAACACAGAACTGATGGTTCTGTACGTAGGGTACAAGCATGGATAACAGTTTAAATTTATTTTAACTAATATGGCCGGGCTGTCATCTGGGATGGCTTAGACATTCTGCCCTCGAGTGGCTAAGCATGTGACAGATAATTTTTCATGTTTCATGTCATTTGATGCTAGGTCGGGAAATATTATTTTAAGGTTGCCTTATTTGATAATGATACAAACCTTCAAATGTAATGCATCTAGGTTTTCTTTTGGATTATTGAGATGCATGCATTTTTATCTTTGTGTAAATTGTAATTAGCTTGCATTGAAGGGTAAGGTACATGCGTCCCCTGGCTAATGTAACTTTCTTCTTATGTTTGTAAAGCTCCCCTCGTATGGTCGAAGTTACCTCAAAAAATTATACAAACCTGATGGTGGGATATACAACTTTCAGCTTGTTGCTTGCCTATCTCCTTTTAGGTGACTTTCTGAAAAGAAGAAAAGAAAAACATTAATTGCTGGTGAATTCATCTATATGAATAAGATTACAACGTGTTGAATTCTCTCTTGTAAAAGCTGCAATTTGATATTGCAATGCTGAAATGTAGAGTATACTTGATATGCAATTCGATATATGTAGATATGGAGGCACAGATACATAAATGCATAGTTCTTTTTTTGGATGTTGTTATTTGGAATTTATATTTATTTTCAAATCAATTGTGTGATAATGTTTCAATCTAGATCTTTCATTTGCATAGACTTAGATTATGGAGAATTTGGGTTATGGGATAGAGAAAAGAAGAGTAAGAGAAAAGAAGAGTAAGAGAAAAAGAGACAAGATTATGAAGAGAGTATTGTGTATTAGGGTTACACGGCTACCTCCAAATATATATATAGTCACAGAAGTACCAAAAATATCCTTAATGGTTACATCCTAATATAATATAACATAACACTCCCCAAAAATATCGACCAACTGATCTTCTAATTTCACAAATGGCATGCAAATTATACCCTTGTTCAGCTTCTTCTGATTTCACAAATGGCATGTAAATTAATTCATGATAGAACTCAACATGTTTAGTTCTATCATGTTGAACTTAATTGTATGCAATGTTGATAACTGCCTTATTATCATAGTATAGTCTCATAGGCCCATTACAACGAATTCTGAGCTCACTCAGTAGGGTTTGGAGCCACATAAGCTCACAAACTCTATATGTGAGCCAGTGATCTGTATTTAACTTTTGCACTAAACCTTGCTATCACTGCTTGTTTTTTACTTCGCCACATGATAATATTTCCTTCTATCAAGGTGTTGTACCTTGAAGTGGATCTTCAATCATCTACGGAACCTGCCTGGTCTGCATTAGTGAATGCTTCTAGTTTCAAGTGACCATTAGTAGAGAACAAGATCTCTTTCCTAGGAGCTGACTTGAGATATCTCAGAAAACGATGAACAGCTTCAAGATGAGGGACTCGAGGATCATGCATTAACTACATAAGTAATATCCGGTCTTGTATAAGAAAGATATATCAATCTCCCCACTAATCTAGTATCTTTCCTTATCCACAACATCACCAATACCACTCACCTGTCGATGGTTGGCTTGAATTAGAGAATTTGTAGGTCTACATCCCAACATACCAGTTTCTTCAAGTAAGTTAAGAACATATTTCCTCTGGGAGATAAAAATGCCTTTGTCTGATGTGACAACTTCAATCCCAAGAAAATATCTCAATGGGTCCAAGTTTTTAATTTCAAACTCCTAGCCAATTGAGTTTTCAGTTTGGTGATTTCCCGCATATCTTTCCCAGTTATCACTTGTCATCTACATATACAATAAGGATTGCTATTTTGTCCTCTATCTGCCTTAGTATGATCAATTTGATTCTGATTATATCCAAATTTCAACATGACTTTGAGAAATTTATCAAACTAGGCTTTTGGTGATTACTTCAACCCATAAAGTGATTTCTTCAACTTACACGCTTTTCCTTCGATTACCTCAGATCAAAAACTAGGTAAAATCTCTATATATACCTCCTTCTCCAAGTCTCCATGGAGAAAGACATTCTTCACATCCAACTGTTGCAAGCTCCATTCCAAATTAGCTACACAAGATAGAAGGGAACGCATACCACAAGGGGCAAAATTCTCCTGCTAATCAATGCCATATGTCTGAGTGAATCCCTTGGCAACCGGTCTTGCCTTATATCTCTCAATTGAACCATCAACTTGTTATTTGACTATAAATACCCATTTGCACCCAACTAATCTTGCTCTAATAGGAAGTGGAACTAATTCCCATGTGTCATTCTGCTTTGGGGCTCTTATTTCCTCTACCATAGCTTCTCGCCACTTTGAATTAGTGAGAGCTTCCTTCTAACCCTGAGGAATAGAAATAGAAGACAAGCAAGAAACAAAGACAAGTAAGAAACAAAGGTACAATAGGATAGAGATAAAGAATCATAAGAAATGAAGTTAGATATGAGATGTTGAGTAAAAGCTTAAACACCTTTTCTAATTGCAATAAGAAGCTCATAATCATCAACAGTTGGATTATCAATAACCTGAGTGGCAACTAGAAGCTCATTACCTAGTGAGCTAGTGGGAGATGCTAGAACTGGGGTGGAGGAATCCAACTGACCTGGTGGCACATGGGTGGTCTATACCTTTTGACGCTGAGAATAAGTTTTCAAAGTACCAGGTGGTTCATTGGTATTAACAATCTTTTGCTCCCCCGGATTAACATCCCAATGGAAAAGGCAATTGAAGTACGGGCTCCTGATATACCACCTTCTCTCCTCAGTAGTAGTGTTCTCCCCTAAAGAAATGGCTGGGGAGGAGAGATAAAAGATTCAAACTCACGAAAGGTAACATCTATGCTAACATACATCTTCTGAGATGGTGGGTGGTAACACTTATACTTTTTTTGAGTTGGAGAGTAACCAATAGAAATATACCGAAGATCTTTAGGATCAGGTTTCCCCCTAGATGCTTTGCGGTCATGGACAAAATAACACACTCAAAAACTTCAGGTGGAAGAAAAGAAGCAGACAAAAGCGGTAAAATTCCAGAAAGACACTCAATAGGGGACTTAAACTGTAGGACACTCAAAGGAAGACAATTGATAAGGTAGGTTGCAGTAAGAATTACATTTCTCCAAAAGTGTTGAGGAACATTCATGGTAAACATCAGCGAACTACCAACTTCAAGAAGATGGCAGTTTTTTCGCTCAGTAATACCATTTTGTTATGGGGTACACACACAACTAGTTTGATAAAGAATGCCACTCTCATTGAGATAAGAACGAAATTGTCACTATAAAGGACTTTGATTTTGGTATCAAACTAGATATCAACCATTTTATGAAAAGAGTGTCAGTAAGAGAAAACTTCACTTTTAGTACGCAGTAAGTAAACCCAAGTAAGACGAGAATAACAATTAGTAAAGATGACAAATCCAACGATAACCTGAGATAGATGCAACACGGGAAGGACCCCACACATCAGAATGAATTATAACAAGTGCTTTTATTATTACTACTAGGATAATAAGAACGTTTGT